TGTCAGTGATTACATTATCGTTGTATACATGCTTCAGGTTTGGACCATCTTGTTTGAACATGATCAGCGAGTTCGCGTTGTCGCGTATCAGATGTTTCGGTATCTTCGAATATGTCTGACAAAGATAGAAACAGTCAACGTCCGAGTGCCTATCCATTGCAAAGTATTCTCTTACCGCGTTTTGCTTAACGCATGCCACGTCGTCAAAGATAAAAATGGAATTCGGAAGTGCCTCGCTCATTGGAACGACGTCGCTGTTATTCAAAAAGGAAAAATAACTAATTTCATCTATGGACGAGAATATATTCTCCAGATATCGATATTTCGGTCGTTGGAATGATTTCGAGTACACGTATACGTTTTCGTAGCGAACACTGTGTGGACTTTCTAACAAACTAATCAGCACGTTCGTTTTGCCGCAATTCGATGGGCCGCAGATGATACCACGTATAGAGGTCGGTAGCATATTTCCATGTTTGTGTACCTTTTTCACAGACTGTGCCTTTTTGTCTACATTAGTCATTCTAATCGCAGGTGATTGGCGCACGAACCATTGGAATACGTGCCAAAGATAGTACTCTTGAATCGGTTCGCTAGCGACATTCATTACGCGTGGGATAAACTGCCGAAACATATAAGAGCTGATCCTGAAGTCCATCGTAGTCTTATCGAAGATGAAATGAAGTCTTATCGTAAATGTCTCTTGCATTACAATCGTCCAGATCAACGTACGCGCATAGACGGACTAACGCCTATGAAGAAAGACTGTTTTCTATGCATAAAAGGAGGGGAGCAGGACTTGTAAATACTCTAATAAACAAATTACCGTTTGAACTACACGTACCAGGATATCAATTTTGTGGCCCGGGTACACGCCTCGACAAACGTTTAGCACGCGGCGATCGAGGTATAAATCCGTTGGATGCAGCCTGTAGAGAAACAATATTGCGTACTCTCGAAACAAAGATTTGACCAATCGTCACGAGGCAAGGTAGCATTCTCGCAGTAAGCTATTTTCCGCCCATCGATCTGAGTGATGGTGATTACGAGCTCGGTCTTACGGACTTTGAGACTTGTTACACCATACCGAATGTAAATTTGTCGAATAATAAATTTTACTACGATAACGATGATAAGGAAATCATTATTCCCGAAAGATCTTACGAGCTGGATGACATTCACATGTATTTGCGACGATCGCTTTCGCAGGATAATGGTGGGAACCCCTTCATACTTAGAGCTAACAACAATACGATGAAGAGCGAAATCAAGTGCGATTACAGCATTAATTTTACCAAACCCAATACTATTGGCTCGTTGCTGGAGCTTTCGACAAATCGGTTGATGCAACCGCGAAAATGGCACGAATCGGATGCGCCAGTCAATATAATGAACGTAAATATTATTCGTATTGAATGCAACGTGATGGCTGGCGGGACAGCAACGTACAGCAATAACAAGAGCGTGCACACGATACACGAGTTTTCGCCGACCGTTCCACCTGGATATAAGATATCGGAAAGATCATTTACCTTTCGATCACTGCACGAAGCATTTCGGATTTGACGATTCACGTCGTGGATCAAGACGGTCAATTGTTAGATTTTTGAGGGGAGCAGATCACCGTTCGACTGCATGATCACCTGCGAAGCTGACTGCATCGAATGTTGAATTTCTAAAATCGTTGGGTTTCGTTGTACGAAATGGCTAATATCTTAAACATTGGAGGCGAACCGATCTTTGACGACAGCATCGCCAAGATTGAGACTCACGCATACAACCCATACGTCAACACAACGTTTGAACACAACAATGAGATACGAATACCTATACAACAGCAGGATTTATACACGTTATCATGCGAGAGTTTTCTATACGTTGAAGGAAGATTCAGAGTAAAGAAACTAACGGAAGGGGTGGATGCACACCTCGGAAACCATTGTGTCGCCTTTATGTTTGATGAAATTCGATATGAACTCAATGGTGTGGAGATTGATCGCAACAGAAACGTTGGAATAACAAGCATCATCAAAAAATTTGTGTCCCTAACATTTGACAAATCGCTAATCTTACGGAATGCTAGATGAATCACACAGTCAAACATACCGATAGGTTACTTTAACTTTTGTGTACCGCTCAACATGCTGTTGGTTTTTTGCGAAGGTTACAGGCGTATAGTAATCAACGCTCGTCACGAACTCATTCTTATACGCGCGCACAGTGATAATACTTGCATCGTTAGAGATTCCACGCTGGAACCGGTGGTCGAATTATTAAAGGCGAGGCGAATGCCTCACGTCGTACTGAATGATACGAATAAGCTATCGTTGTTGCGAATTTTGGAAAGCGGGCAATACCTAAGTATGAGTTTTCGGTCGTGGGACCTGTACGAGTACCCTTTTGTCGCAAAGTATGACAAAACATTCGTGGGCCGTTAAAACTGCGACTCAGCTGGAGAAACCGCGATACGTCATTTTTGCACTGCAGACTGGTCGAAAAAATATCATGTCTGAAGATGCGTGCAACTTCGATGCATGTAAATTGACCAACGTGAAACTTTATCTAAACTCTGACTTTTATCCATACGGTGACTTGAATCTTGATTTTGATAGAAACAGATATGCTATTCCTTTTGACATGTATGCACGTTTTCGTAAAGCTTATTACGGATACGACTGTTACGAAACGCTTTGCAACACAGACAACTTTTTGTTGCATGGACCGTTTGTAAGTCATTGATTTCTCGCGACAGAACGAATCAATCAAGAGCGCCACCGTAGATGTGCGAATAGAATTTGATTGCAAAGAAACCGTACCAGCAAATACTACCGCGTACTGTCTTATTTTGCATGATCGCGTCATCGAATACTGTCCATCGTCCAACGTTCGGCGCAAAATCACTTAAACTGCAGCATCAGCAATATTTGTAATATGTAAGAGATGAACACCTCGCATTGTGGCGTAGTTTCAAAGATATCGTCACGATGGAACCAACGTTTGTTGACATACACGGGTTCACCGACAGAACCAGGTTTATCGTAAAAGAAGTGGCGGTGTTGGGAAAAGGAACCCTTCTCACCCATTATATTTTCAAAAGCCCGTATCCATGGAATTTACTATCGGCAGCCGATAAATCTCGTGCTTCTTGGGTGACGACAAATCATCATGGACTGGGAAGATGGCTTCGTTCCATACAGTATAGCAAAACGATTGATTACAACGGCAATAGTCGATGACGATGCATGGCCTATCGCATATGTCAAGGGAAGCCAAAAACGTGACTGGTTGAAAAATCTACTTGATAGAAATGCGAATGTAACTATTGAGACCATAGATGCTCATTACAAAGATATCGCGTGTTTGAAAAATCTTGATGTTACTAATACCATGCGATGCATAAACCATGTAACGAATTGCGCTTTACAAAATGTATTTAAATTATACAACTGGTGGTTGAAATACCAGAAATAAAAAATGTATCTATTTTTTGGAAATTGACTGAATTGTTAGCATTAGGTTTAGATGGAATACAGTTATCAATAAAAAAAAAATAGCTTGAATATATGTGTCTTTCTTTCGAGCGCATTTCCTCCCATATTATATTCTCATCCGGTGTAATGTTTTCTTCGCACGTTCTCCAATATTCTCATCGCCAACGAATGATGTCACCTCTACCGTCTCTTTAATATCTGGTCCTTGAGAAATTGTATTGCGCAAATAAAAGATTTGCTGCCGGATTGTAATTTGCAAACTTTGCGTTTTTGGATCTTCTGCTCGAGGCCATCGTCGCGAGACGTTCCTACTTTGTATGTTCCTAATTTGTAAGAAATGTTCCATTCCCAATGTTAACCCACGAGCGAGACGGTGTATGTACGTGTGCATCGAAACAATAACATGGAACGAGCAAGAAAACCGTCATGAATATCAAATTCTGCCGAAAAGATTAGAGACTGTTCGGGCGCCGCGCGTGTAAAAGGACGTATAAAAGGATCGAGCAATACGAACAAAGATAGAAACGAACGGCACGAATTATTACGTTCACGGCTACGATTTAAGGTTGCGGAGGACCCAGAGCCAAACTCCGAGTTGACTTCAGCGACAGTTGCGGAAAAAGTAGGAAACTCCGGGATAAGGACAGAGAGGGCGATACAACAATTGCAAGAGAGACGAGGACAGGGCGATTAGGTTAGCATGATTTTTTTCAAAGATATTGAAGCAAAGAATATTTTCTAATAATTCTGGTTTTAATATATTCGTTACACTTTGGCGGATGCGACTCCAAGGCCTGATGTTGGAAAAAGTATATGTAAACAAATTTCTTCTATAAGAAAAGAAAAAACGTACTTTTATTGTTTATAAAGTTTTAAGGCCGAAATTGCAAAATCAGGCCTTGGAGTCGCATCCTCCAAAGTGTAACGAATATATTAAAACCAGAATTATTAGAAAATATTACTTTTTTGCTTTAATATCTTGAAAAAAATCATGCTAGCCTAATCGCCCTGTCATCGTCTCTCCTGCAATTGTTGTATCGCCCTCTCTGTCCTTGTTCCGGAGTTTCCTACTTTTTCCGCAACTGTCGCTGAAGTCAACTTGGAGTTTGGCTCTGGCTCCTGCGGACCCTTCAGCGTCCCACAGACTGCTTTGACGTGACGTGGGCCTACGTCAGACACGAAGCGGTGTCAGTTGATTTCATGAGCTACGCGCAGGCGCCCATTTGACAACGCTTCGTGTATACTTGGGCCCGCGTCACGTCAGACCATTCTGTGGGACGCTTTATGGTTTACGATATTGTCTCACAAAATTATCTGTCTTGTATTTTATTCCGTCTTGTATTTTGTGTATTCATCGGAGTATTTAATAAAAGGAATAGTTAAAACAATTCTATATCCTACATTAATAAAAGGTTAAGCTGATAGGCAACATGAAGGAAATGGTAAACCATCTGGCCATCTAGCCAGAATTGGCCATCTAGCCACATGAATTTTCCGTTCGTGTTCCAGATACCATCCTACGACCCGAACTCTCATTGTCTCTGCGTCGCCGGTGAAGTATATTGTTGGTGGCAAAATTACAATCCAAGCACCGATCCCTCCGCGGGCCCCTTGTACCTCCCATCGACGACGATAGAAAGTAATTACACACCGTCGCTGGAGGAAAGCACGGATGTCGTCGACAGTTTGGAGGCTTCCGGTGATCCAGAAGAGGAGCCTTCTGCCGTGCAACAAGAATACATCGAAATTAACGCGACGTACTCGACTACTTTCCAGCCAGCGCCGACTACGTGTCTCGTGATGGGTAATAAATCAGTCGTAGTTCGTTTCAGTCGATTCTTTCTGCGACGTTAACTGATAGGCCATCGATTTCCTGTAAAACGGCCGTCATGGTGCAATTAGTCGCACGGTGAAATTTTAATACGAAAGGGAAATAGTGGAAGGAAATTCGTTCCACGACACGTCGCCAATATCTCGAAGTTTCTATTGCGAATTTTACAAAACCGCAAGGTAGTTACTTTTGTTTGTACAGTGCGTACAGATACCTACAATGTATAGCTGAACTTTTTCGATGTAACGCACTGTTTGTACAGCTAATAAAATAATTTCTGGAAAAAAAATATAAGCGATTTCGAAAAATATTAGAACTGCACTAAAAAGTATGAAATAATTTCTACACTGACGGACAAAATTAAAGGGACTCTTTTTTAAAACGTCATATCTATGGGAGTTTTCAACCGATTTTGGAGAAACTTCGCAAGGAGTAGTTTTGAAGTGTTCTCTAAATGTGCGCAAAGTTGCATTGGCGAGGGTTGACAGGAAGGGGTTAAATCACCCCCGTAAAGAGGGGCACGTCGAAAAACGCCACTTCTGAAGAGTCCAGGGGTGACGGAAGGGGTTGAAAAAATCAAAAAAACCTTTAGGGCGACCCTCCTCGATGGCCTCAACAAAATGCACCCCTCAAAATCCCTCTCGGGCAAACCCACCCCTCACAACACCCCACCCCCTCAAAAATCCACAATTTTTGGACTTTAGTCCCGAATTTTGGCTCAATACATTCCACGGTATCTCTTGATCCAGTAAATGCCAACGCCCACGCCGTGCGCCTCATAGGCACCCCTTGGAAGGATGGAACAGTTCGCCACTTTTCAACACCCTTCGTAAGGGAGCACTTCCACACCTCGAAGGGCGGTGAAATTCACCATGTTTATTCTCGGTACGTTAAGGATCAATGTCATTTGAAGCTCGTTTCGAAAACTGCCCCTGGAGCTGAACAGGGTGGCCCAGAGTTAGGGGTGGTCCACCCATAGGTGTAGGCTTTGGAACGATGTTTCGTTGCGTGGAACACATGTGATACGGTCTAAGGCATTGGAGTGACACAGTTTTGATGTCTTTTCCCTGTGTGGATAGTGTCACCTGTGTACCAGGTGAATGAGTAACCCCACGTCAACGCCGTTCGTGGAAACGGACGCGCGAATGCTTTATTAACAGGTCCCCAAAAATTCAGATATTTTGAATCACGCTTTCATTGTCAAATCGGAGTAGATTTGAAAGAGTATTAAGTGGGCCGGACGGAGCCGGCATGCAGAAGTGGAGCGAGGGCCTGCAGCCGTACGTGGTCAGACCAGACCGGATTCCAATTTAACGTGGACTGAGACAGCTTTTTTCGTAATTGGGGAGACTCAGAAGTGTCACCAAAAAATACATCAAACCCGATGTCAAGCTAATTTTAAAGTGACAAGTCGATTTTTGTTGAAAAATGTCGATTTTTACTTAAAAACGTCCGCTTTTCTGCATTCAAACGTCCTTTCCTCCCTAAAATACCACCGTAGAATTTTTTTGACAATACCATTCAAAAGCTGAGATTTCGAGGAAGTTTTTCCCGAGAAGTGCCCGCCAAACAACTATGTATTTAAAACCGAAAAACGGATAGAGAAAAAGCTAAATGTTTAAAAATTTTCACAATGTAAAATTCGACCTAATTTTTCACTTATTAAGCCTACATAATAAATTTTGATTTTACATCAGGGAGATGGTAAATTTAACGCTCTTTCGAATGGTGTACTGATTTTTAAGTGTGCACTGTAATTTAGTGGAGTTACGGCCGTTTAAAAAGTGTCAAGTCGAAAATACAGAAAAGATATTAAAAGTGAAAATATTCGATAATAAGGCGACACAAAGAAAATGTCTAAGAGTAATTTTTTGTTGGAAATTTGTTGTAAAATTGACAACCTGCGTATGTCCGGACTTATACGTAGACACCCTGTATACATTAATACTATGCAATATCGCCACTCCCACCAAATACTACCCCAAACCTACTCAGACAATATTTCCATGCAGAGAGAATATATATTAGCAATAATCAATATTACCGCCTCCCTCTCCCCCCACAGAATGCTCCAAACCTACTCAGACAGTATTTCCACGTAGACAGTGTGCATTAACAGCATTCAATATTGCCGCCCCACCAAAAATTAACTCAAGCAGGAATTAAAAATTTTTAATGTTGCGTCTCCTCCGAAAATGTTATTTAATATAATATAATATAATGTAAAGAAAATAGACATTATTTCATACTTTTAAGCAATTATACCTAGAGCTGGTGGGCATTGATATATATTAATTAAAAATTATTTCATACTTGTTAGTGCAGTTTTAATGTTTTTTGAAATCGGTTATATTTCTTTTCCTCAAAATTATTCTATTTCGCACTTTTTAGTGAGAATATGTAACTAATTGGCTTCATGGAATAACAATAGTTATGAACAATATGTATATTGTTGCAAACGAGATCATTAGGAATACATGTGCAATTAAATGCGAAAGAATTCATCGGGATCGATAAATTTCTTGCCGAGCTACACCAGAGAATAGGAATTTTGCAGCAACAATGGTTTTAAACAATAATAGTTATCATCAATACAAAAATCATCGCAAAAACCTGCCTGGCAGCAAAATGTAATGGGTATCATCGATTCCATCGATTTCAAGGCAAACATATGTGAAATAGTACGCTTACTACGATAAAAACTCATATTTAGTGGTTACAATCCTTAATACGAGTTGGGGATTATATAAAATCACCGGTGAATTTGATAAATATTCCAGATTTATCACATTCACCAACTTTAGTGGAGATAATGCATAATTCCCATTTTATCACATTCACCGTAACAGATACAGGGTGATCCGCACATTAGTAGACACAATGGACAACCACAACGACGACCGTCATTGTAGACTTTATGACGGTGACCCCCGCAGCGAAAGGGGCTGTATGGGTAAAAATATGTGTGCCAAGCAGGGTTTGAATAATAATCAATTACAATTTTGTAATTAAATAATTAACTTAAACAAATTTAATCAGACAAATCAATTAATCAATATTTTACATAAATGTAATTAAAAATTATTTAATTAAAATTTAATTAAGCAGAGTTAATCGAAAGTCGCTTAATTGACGATTACGCTATTCAAAGCCATTTAATTGACGATTATGATATCCAAGATGGTCTCCTGATAACCAAACCTCCGGAAAGTCGTGGACGTCCCTCTGTTCAGGATCACCAGGTTACGGCGTGCTGCCATCTTGACAACCCCTCGTCGCCTGGTGTCCAGTCTGGGCATTCCCTACTCGACCGTCTTCGCGTTGAAGTCCCCTCCGACTATCCATTCTCCCGCCTGTTCAGCGATGGTGTTCTTTCGCTCGGAAATCCGTGAAGCGGTCATTAGGCGAAAGGTACATGCTAACTAGCGTCAAACCCTCCCTCCTTACCCAGACGAATCCGGCGCCCGCTCCGCGCGACTGGACTTGAAACTTGGAGGGATCCGGTATCCATATCGCTGCGGTTCCCAACGTGTCGGTGAACCACGTTGCCCCTTCTCGAGCCCTGTACGGCTCAGAGAGCAGGAGGATATCGGCCTCCCGCTCCCGCCGCAGCTACTCGAGAAGGGCGTTCGCGACCTTGCTCCGGTTAAGGTTACCCTGCAGCACCTTTTCTTTTTGTTGTGGGGAAATGAATTACACATATTTCTGATCCCCGGGGGAGAAGCCGAGGTTATGTGGGACTTGCCGGCGGATCGGCGCCCTTACAGGACGGTATCCGCAAGCGTACCCACTAAAAACCCCACGGTGACCCTGAGCTAATAGGAAGGTGGCCGGGATCTCGTTAACGAATGCAACCGATCACCTCCCAACCCATAGCAACAAAGGCCCCAACCCGGGGGGAAGAGAAGATCCCCCCTACGAATTCCTATGTTAATAGGACATCGCACGGGTCACCCATACGATGTCCCCACTACCAAGGACCGCTCGGCTGGACAGCGCAAGCCCCAGCTTGCACCGCTCGCGGTCCCCGGAGACTCCCTCCATCGCTCGGACCGAGTGGCTCCAACATGGGTAACAAACACGAATCCGCCCGACGGAGGAAGGCTCCGCGCGCGGAAAGGAAGGATCGGCGGGATTTCCGGCTCCCAAACCAACCCCTCCCCCTACCCACCCCCATGGACGCCCCAAAAAGAATTGGTGCGGTCCACCAGTCGCCGGCAGAGATAGTGGGGTTCCCCGCCCCTTTGCCGCGACTGGCCCGCCCCGATGGGGGAGAACATCTGCTCTCTCCCTATGCCCATTCCCGCTGCCACTGATTTCTGGCGGAGAGGGGGTCGGCTTCCCTTTCTCTCTGCGCGGCTTCCTTCTGCGGCATAACTTCCTCGCAGAAAGAGACTAACGCCTGACAGGACCTGTCGTCGGTAATCATGTGGTCGATCACAGCCACCAACGAGAGGTCCATCCCAATAATACCCCTTAGGACACGACGCGCCGCCGACCACGCTGGACATTCTTCCAGCGTATGCTGCGCCGTGTCCTGGGCCTCCCTGCAGCGGTGACAATGCGTCGTCGGTTCCCTCCCTATGCGGCCCAGGTACTCCCCGAAACATCCATGCCCGGAGAGCACCTGAGTCACATGGTAGGTGAGCCTAACACGCCTCCTGCACCATTCTCCCAGAATGCACCACCCCCGTATAGAAACGGCGTATCCGAACTTCGGGCCCCCCAATATTTGGCAGCAGCCGCCCTAGGGCGGTCGCCAATTTCTCGGTTCGGGGGGCCAAGCAGCCGAAGTGCTCTTCGAAGCACCAGCGACTGTACGCAAGGTCCTACAGGAGCGGTCCAAGGACCGACCCCTGCGGGACACCGCGGTGCATCTTCTCTCTCCGCATACGATTGTACCGGCCCGGATACTCGACCATCTGTCCGACAGGTAGTCCCTCAACGTCACCCGGAGATAGGGGGGCACCCAA